AGTTCGTAAATGTTGGAATGATGTTGGGCCACGTACATTGACTAATAGCGTAAATAAAAACATTCATCATTGCTTGGATGTACTGAATAAATTCGACCAATNTCTCTGTAAGATCCACACAATTCGCCATCAACAGTTCGTAAATGTTGGAATGATGTTGGGCCACGTACATTGACTAATAGCGTAAATAAAAACATTCATCATTGCTTGGATGTACTGAATAAATTCGACCAATCGCATCGGTGGAATACACATCTGGGTATCCTGGAACTGGTTTTCCTTGTTTCCGTAGTATAAATCTCCTTGAGGATTGATTCCGAGTATAATATTTTGGCATTTCAGAATATAGCAATGTTTGTGCAAAATCATCGTTTTGGCATGTCTCAAAAAAACTGGTTAATGTAGTAGATGGTGGCTGCGCAGCTCTTTGTACTGCGTTCTGTGCTGTAAAATACACTCTTTGCCCATTTTCTAAATGCACAGCTAAGTGGACAACAGAAGGGTGTCTCTCATGAATAGGAAAATAAAATATTCGCCAAACTGCTCCATTACTACTAACATAGCGGCCCAGTTGGTATTGGGTAACTTCATCATTGGAATTCTCTGCACCAATTCCAATCACGCCATATCACTCCCTTTGGTTACATATTTGCAAATGTATTTAATAGATTTCACTGAATGGCAAGATTCAACGTTGATGAGTGCTTTGAAGGTCTTTGATAAAATGGGTGAATATGGAACAATTCAACGATTATCCATTTCAATATCTTGTTGATTTAATTTGACAATTGTTGATCTTCCATTGTCTGCTGTCGATCGGCGACGATACAGTGGATAACCGCCATTACCAGTAATTGTTTCCGATATTAATGTCCGTGGATATCGTTTTGAACATTTACCATCCATCATACACGGTGAATTTTGATTAAGAGTTCCACAGGGACCATGTATCATGTTTTTTATAACTACCTCATGCAATCCAGGATCTACTTGTACATTAGGGATTTCAGCTGATATCACTGCATCAACTTCATTTGGCCTTATCTTTTCAACCAACCAAATCAAAATGTGTGCATGTGGCAATCCTCGTTTCTTCCACTCCACAGAATACATCCAGCAGCGTGTCTCACCAAACACATAATGTTTTATGATGAAATCCATTAGAGATTTCAACTTTTGTCTAAAGACTCTGGCTGTAATATCATGACGGTCAATGGGTGATTGCCCAGGGAATAATTCCTGCTTGATTTCTATCCAGTGCGGATTGCATGTAAATGTGATGAACAAATCTGCTGTACTATAATGACGAACATACGACTTGGCATCTTAAGCATATTCTTGCATATGTCGAGGGCTTCCGATGTATGTTGCTGGAAGAATAGTCATCCGACCAACATTCTGTGCATTTCCATCAGTATTAATCGCATCTCGAAGGTGAATATGCTCTTCAGATCGAAGTTTGGTCTGATTAAACCTGATGAATGTTAATCTCTCCGTTTCAATTTTAACATACATGTCAACAACATATTTGTGATATAATCGCCGACATTTCAATATGTGATTGTCTTTATTTTCCCGAATCATTAGGCGGTATGAATAATAGTTCATTGAACTGACTTTTTTGTTGGTTTCATAACCTGTAAATAGATTTTGTTTTAATAAAATTAAAATACATAATATAGTGACTGAGATATTATCGCCATAGCTAAACTAATATTTTAATTACCTGTAATGGGATTTATCATTTTTATTGAGAAATCATTGCCATCTTCACCTTGCCAAAATATAATGTGATATTGCAGTGCATCATATGAGCGGTGTGTTTCCTTTATACGTTGTAATTGATCATTTCGATGATGTAAAACAATATCACGGGATTCCAAGTTTTCTCCAACTACAACGATAGTAACTTCATCAAACGCCTTGCATGTTGACCCGCAGGTGTTTTATCAGCTCTGATTACAATTTTGTGATTATCAGATGGCATCAGATCCAGTGCAGTTTTAACAATATAATCAATTGATTGGGTTCATGAAATAAAGTTTGTAATTGTTCTACAATAGACCTCTTTACTAATTTGTTATGTGCACAACGCAGATTAATTTCTTGTGGTGAATTGCCCATAAAATAAATTTGCAGGAATTTGTAGTTGCTATCTGACACTGGTAACAGTGCACCTGCTCTGTGATATATTTGGCCTTGTATCTGTAAATTAAAAAAAAATATTATGTTTGTACCAAACACTATAAAATAAAATAAAATAAATAAGCAATTTGGGGTATGAATTTTAATTTATTTATTTTATTTTAATTTTAAATAATAAAAGCGTCACTAAAACTGAATCACCAAATAATATGATAACTAAGTGATGATTATGATCTTAATCATTAAGAAATTGAAGATTAGTGACACATCTTAACTTAAGTGACAGAAAATATTGTTCGTTAAAATAATTATGATTAACTGCTATAATACATACCTTGAAAGTGGGCATAAAATTTTCCCGAACTACATTTGTTGCTCCAAATGAAGTCATTTGAAAGCAATTGTTATATTGTTGGATATTTGTCAAAAAGTGTATGGAATCTGTTCCTATTCCTGAAACCAATGAGTACAATGGCTCTGGTGGTGGATCCAATGGTATCAATTTCACTTTACCATTTGCGCAACACAATTCATTAGCTTCGTTTTTGTATTTCAATGCCTTACAATGTGAGCAAACCAAGTTCATAGAACCAATAACAACACATTGGTAGTTACTGTAGTCAATTGACACATCGTAACTGAAAGCAGCTCGATTCAAACTTGCGCGATTATTAGTTGAATGTCACGCTCGCGCTTCACGCGTTTGTGATATCCGAATTCTTTCACGTTCATTTCGGTCGTCACGTTCTTGTGCAGTATGATTAGATCGGTAATTAGCTTGGTTTGTAGCATTTCGGGATCTTCTACCTAAATTGCTTCGTGTTATAGGAGGCATATCTATAATATTAATTATTGTGTCACATGCAATAATTAATGATCATAGGTAACTGAACACTCTGCACAAAACACGATATACGAATTTGTTTCATGTATCAGTTGACAAAAGCAAACTCACTAGAATATGTAACAGAAAATCCAAGAAAAACAACACTTGTACACCGGCAAATCGACATCGACAGTTTGTTGTTGTTTCAATAAATTTTCAATTTTTTTTTTAATTTGATATGACTTGGAGTCAAATCCTTCAATAAACACTTTTCCTTCAATAAAACACTTTTCCTTCAATAAAACACTTTTCCTTCAATAAAACACTTTTGGTAACGCGGTTTGTGATGGTGACTGATGTAATGACGTGAGAACTGATGCATTTTAAAGTAAAACAAAAGAAATAGTTAATATCACGAAGCCGACCAAATTGAAAATCAGTACTAATGATCTATTACATTTTGTTTGTGACTATTCAATTTGGTCGGCGATATCACTTTTGTGGAGTTTCGGAACGCGACATTAAATCCTCCAACGATGTATTCTGTGCTCTAACGCACACACGCACACTGTTTTGATAGATATGATTGAATTTGAACTTTGTATAGCGGTAATAAAGTGCAAATTGACTCTTTGACGTAAGGAACACACCTAGATTGCTTAGGTAACAATGAGTGCTTGTAATTTAATATGAACTTTATACAATAGCAATAAAGCTCAAATTGACTCTACGTTTTAGTTAGAAAACGTTTGTATGGGAAAAAGGAAAGGGCTGTTTTTAGGGTTTTTTCCGGCAATTATTCGAATTTTTCTCACCGTAAATACCATCCTTGAACTTCTACGAACAGTTAAAAAAAAGAATTGGCCAAATTGGTCCAGGCGTTGTTGAGTTATGCGCTTACCAACACATTTTGCGATTCATTTTTATATTATAGACTAGCAAACCCGGCGAACTCCGTTTCGCCACCAGCGGCGGCCGATGTTCACACGTCGTCCTCTCGGCATTTAGGACTTTGGACAGACAGGTGAATTTAACCTCGAATGCACGATCCAAATCATTTGCACAGTTCAACTTACCACCTTAAGGACAAATGCCTGCTGTTGAAGTTGAATAAAAATTTGCACAATACGCGTAACTGACTTGATGGTTTCCAATTTAACTATTAGGAAAAGAAGAACTTAACCTCAATGTCACAATTTCACTATGGAGAGACTGGTGAATTTAACCTCAAATGCACGATCCAAATAATTTGCACAGTTCAAGTAAGGACAAATGCCTGCCGTTGAAGTTGAATAAAAATTTGCACAATACACGTAATTGATTTGATGGTTTCCAATTTAACTGTTAGGAAACGAAGAACTTAACCTCAATGTCACAATTTCACTATGAAGAGACTGGTGAATTTAACCTCAAATGAACGATCCAAATAATTTCCACAGTCCAACTTACCTCCTTAAGGACAAATGCCTGCTGTTGAAGTTGAATAAAAG